TGAAATGGGTCTGTTTATAACTCCACAATCGCTGTGCCTTATGTTCATTGAACTATTTAAAGTATTAACTTGAGTCTAAACCTTGACTTCATATTCCAGTGTTTTCTGGTTATCACTGTAGTATCAGAGTAAAACTTAAAGGAGATATTAAAAATTTCTTACAATTTGATCAAACAATAATAATTCAAAATGTCCAGTAAAATATGCAACAAAAAAGAACAGTAAAATAACACATATAAATTTAATATCTGGCATGGTTTGAATTCATTTGAGAAGCCTACAACAAGGACATGAAAAAAGTAACAAACTTAAGTTTTTTCCCCTAACATAATTTCTTTTTATGGTGTAAATTCAAAATGTCAGGGACTATTATATATTTAATGATTAACATAAAGAAGACTATAAGTTAAATTATTGAACTTACTAGAAGTGATTTAACGTAGTTCAACTATTTTTGCTATCCAAAAAAAAGTGAACTCCCACCACAAAACTTAACTTTTCTAAACCCTAATCTTGGCAACCTAATGTAGTAGACTTTTGATATTTTATATTTCGGACACACGGTCACACCAACAGTCTAACTTTGAAAAATCAAAACTGCAAATGTATGCATAAATAATCAGTATGCATGGTCAAATATTTGTTGTTGCTTATTAGGCAGCCACCAACTACTGCTGCAATAAGCGAATTTTGTCGATAATAAACGATTTGTTTGTCATATAAAAGCGATTATTTTTTTTCATGTTTAAAGATGTGTTGTCTTTTAATTGGGTGCCAGCCAACTTTCACACCCGAGTGGGCCGTTTTTTTCGCTTTATTTTGAATTTAAAATTTGATGTGAGTTTGTGACTAGTGTTCAGTTTCTATAGGTTTCTGATTACCAGTTTCTTATCCAAGCGTGCGTTAATTCCCGAACCCTGCAAACAGTTGAATCTAAAATTAGATTTTATTTGGTTGAAAAAGGAAAAGTTGTGAAGTAAGGTTTAAATATATATCTGTTAGAGCGTGAATTTGAGAATTGTAAATATAAGTTTTAAAGTTTGAGTTTGGTGCAAAACCTCAGTTCCTTTCTCAGATGTAAAGTAAGTCGTTTTTTTTGGAAGCGGATGCATCTTTAAATACTAGCTGAAACACCCGGCGTTGTCCGTGAAATAAAAAAAAAACAAACATTAACATATATACATGATTGAAGAGCTTTTTATTTTATAGATATAAAGTAGAAATCTCTTATTGTCTGTGTATATATTCTCTTATTGTCTGTGTATTCGATCTTACATCTCATGAACTCCTTGATTGATTTGCAAAGCTGGATCCCCATGGAAGCTAGGTTTTTTTATCTTACTATATTCTTCTTAGTTAAAAACACTTTTTGAATGAGGATCTATGGAGAAAATAAGGATCGGAGAAGAGAAGTGGTTCCAGGATATATAAAGAAGGATAGAATTCGAATGAGGATCTAGGAGAAAAGAAAGATCAGAGAAGAGATGTGGTTCCAGAACAGGTAAAGAAGGATAGAATTTGAATGAGGATCTAGGAGAAAAGAAGGATCTGAGAAGAGAAGTGGTTCCAGGATAGATAAAGAAGGATAGAATTTGAATGAGAATCTAAGAGAAAAGAAGGATCTGAGAAGAGAAGTGGTTCCAGGACAGATAAAGAAGGATAGAATTTGAATGAGGATCTAGGAGAAAAGAAGGATCGGAGAAGAGAAGGGGTTCCAGGATAGATAAAGAAGGATAGAAATTGAATGAGAATCTAGGAGAAAAGAAGGATAGGAGAAGAAAAGTGGTTCCAAGACATATACAGAAGGATAGAATTTGAATGAGGATCTAGGAGAAAAGAAGGATCGGAGAAGAAAAGTGGTTCCAGGATAGATAAAGAATGGAATAGAATTTGAATGAGGATCTAGGAGAAAAGAAGGATCTCAGAAGAGAAGAGGTTACAAGATAGATAAAGAATTGAATAGAATTCGAATGAGGATCTAGGAGAAAAGAAGGATCGGAGAAGAGAAGTGGTTCCAGGATAGATAAAGAAGGATAGAATTTGAATGAGGATCTAGGAGAAAAGAAGGATCGGAGAAGAGAAGTGGTTCCAGGATAGATAAAGAAGGATAGAATTTGAATGAGGATCTAGGAGAAAAAAAGGATTTAAGAAGAGAAGTAGTTCCAGGATAGATAAAGAAGGATAGAATTCGAATGAGGATCTAGGAGAAAAAAAGGATTTAAGAAGAGAAGTAGTTCCAGGATAGATAAAGAAGGATAGAATTCGAATGAGGATCTAGGAGAAAAGAAGGATCGGAGAAGAGAAGGGGTTCCAAGACAGATAAAGAATTGAATAGAACTTGAATGAGGATCTTGGAGAAAAGAAGGATCGGAGAAGAGAAGTGGTTCCAGGATAGATAAATAAGGATAGAATTCGAATGAGGATCTAGGAGAAAAGAAGGATTGGAGAAGAGAAGTGGTTCCAGGATAGATAAAGAAGGATATAGAATTTGAATGAGGATCTAGGAGAAAAGAAGGATCGGAGAAGAGAAAAGGTTCCAGGACAGCTAAAGAAGGGTAGAATTCGAATGAGGATCAAGGAGAAAAGAAGGATCAGAGAAGAGAAGGGGTTCCAAGAACAGATAAAGAAGGATAGAATTTGAATGAGAATCTAGGAGAAAAGAAGGATTTAAAAAGAGAAGTAGTTCCAGGATAGATAAAGAAGGATAGAATTCGAATGAGGATCTAGGAGAAAAGAAGGATCTGAGAAGAGAAGTAGTTCCAGGATAGATAAAGAATTGAATAGAATTTGAATGAGGATCTAGAAGAAAAGAAGGATCGGAGAAGAGAAAGGGTTCCAAAAAAAGATTCTAGGAGGGCGATGAAGGAGGAATTAAGGGGTTGGGGGATACATATTGAGTCTATAGGATGGGATAAAGGAGGGATGTAGGAGGATAAGAAGGAGAGGTTTCAGGATAGATCAGGATTATAAAAAGGGAAAAGGTTCTAAAAGGATTAGGGTAGCTCAACAAAATATTCTAGGATATGGTAGGTATGTAGTAAATGCTGTACTCTTAAAACTTAGTCAAGAATTGTATCAGTCCAGGTACAACTCGTCAGCTATAAATGTCAACTAGGACACAAACTCTTTAATGTCAAACCAATGGACACAATCTTATTGGCTCTGAATGTCTACAGGGACACCCTCATAGCTATCAAACACGCTCTTAACCGATGAATACCCCTCTTATAGGCCCAATCTCAGCTCGTATGTTTCAACTAGGGCTATTCGGCTCTGAATATCACACAGGGACACAAGCGTAGCTATCAAATCTCTGGCACGATCTCAGCTTGTTTGTTTCAAAAAGGACACTGTTATAAAGTTAATAGACATAATTACAATTCCTACGTCGTAGGAAAAAGCTGGATTTCAGTTCAAAGCAAGCCTATTTGTATAAGTAACTAGCTTAGCAACTCCTTAATCGATTTTCCTCGAATGCTGATTGCTGATCTCTTAGCCTTGTTTGAAATTTCAAATTTATAATTTATAGCTAACATATATTCCAGGCAGAGCTGCATGGTTGTTTGGTTTGGAGGCTTTACAAAAGTCTGAAAAGTTTATTGTAAAACAAAGTTGTATCCTGTAAAAGTTTGATTTAAGGCAGAATCCATCAGTCATTGTTTAAATAATTGGTAAAGAAATCTGCTCACGTGAATACATTGAACCCCCTGCACCACCTTTCCAATTCAAAAAGTTGCGTGCCCGACTAAGCAAATTAAGAGAGATATAGTTTTTTTTTCTTGAAAAGTTTTTTCTTAAATTTTTACAACTTTGTCGTATAAACCCCCAAATAGTTGTTGAGGAAGAGGAACCACAACTAAAAAATTTTATTTTTCGAATAGAAAATCAAAAATATCTGCATCATTTTTGTTAAGGCGAAGATTTTTTCAATCTGATGTTACTTTTGATATTTCAAACTTTGACAATCTGATGTTTCTTTGATATTTCAAACTTTGACAATCTGGTGTTTCCTTTGATATTTTAAACTTTGACAATCGGATGTTTTCTTTGATATCTCAAACTTTAACTATTTTGATGTGGCAGAATTTATAGTTTAACACATATATATCAAAGGTTTACTACAACAAGTTAAAAAAAATCATTTTATTTTGCAAATAAAATTTTATCCTAACAGTATATTTTTTCTAAAAGAGCAAAACAACACCATTTAGTTTCAGTAATTAAGAAAATATTGAATTTATTTTAAATCTAAAAAATTATCAACATTTGTGCAATTTATAAAATTAAGCTATAATTTATCAAATTTAAGTGTCTAGAATAAAGTTCTGAAAAAAATTTGGACCTTTTCAGAACAAGAAATATCATGTTTTTCTGGAATATTTCTTTATTACATTGCAAAACGTAAAATACGTTTTAGAAGGAACTGATTTATTGCCTCAAACTATAAATTTCTAATCCTTATTTCATTATTTTAACCCTAGATATTTCAAACTGTGAATTTTGCTCGAGCAAAAAGTTTAAATTTTAAAATATCACAATCAGGTTGCAAAGTTATAGGAATCAGGAAGTTAGAGTTGTTGGGATATGCTCAGTTCCTGTGTGCCCATGTAAAAGTTAACACGCATAATTTTAGAATTAAATAACAAGTCAGAACTCTTGTTAATCTCCGGATTTAGCATTGATCTCAATCATCCGGGTTCATTTAATTCCTCTTCGATTTCCTTTAGGCCTAATTGAAATCAAGGTATCAAACTAAAAGTCCCCTCGATGGATGTCGAGATCAAGTGTTCAATACTATTCAAACGTTCCGTTCTTTTATTACATTTTCATAAACAAACGTAAACTCAGTTAAATTTCTCATCTTTAAATCTAAGAAAATACAACATTTCTAAAACTTGTATCTGAGATGGAATTTAAAGAATTTGAGCCCCGGTTTAAATCTGCCAAAACCCGGTTTAAATTAAGCGCCGGTTTAAATCTTGAAACATTTGATACAATTTTAAGTGGAACCAACCATATTTAAGCCGCGGCTTAAATTTAAACCGCCGCTCAAATTCTTTAAATTCGGCCACTGTTTAAATAAGGTACAGTGAAGAGTATTAGATAGAGTCGTTCTCGTATATATTAATACAAAAGAGACGACATTTTTTTAGATTCCTACCAAGCTTTCAGACAGCATGGAAAAAAGAAAAGATGTCAATTAAATTTAACCTTCTCTTTATATAACTTTTAAACTTGTAATTTGAAAAAATCTTGTTGGAAAAAAACTAAATAGAAAAGTCGTCTTTATTGTATTAATATAAACGGCGTTCACTGTAGCTAAATACAATAAGATTATTATATATATGTACTAAGAATCCAAAGAACTGCTAAACATTGTAATCTATATACTTGATGCTGTAAGCAGAAGAAAACAAGAACCACTAGAGAAGGAGTTGAACCCTGAAATATCAATGAATTATTTTATTAAAAGTTTAAATGATTTTATATAAATAAGAATATTTTAGATGTACGTTTATGACAAAATGAACTGAAATATTACCATAATCCAATATCTTTGCAATATTTAAACTTTGAACAGAATCCATGGATTGAAATATCAAAGGTTTATGATATCGGGTTGCATTGCAAAGATGAGATTTTTTGGCAATTACTTAGTTCCTTTACAAAACAGCGAATATTAGTTTAACTCTTAACCCTATTCCCGCTGGGGGGGGGTCAATTTGACCCCCCCCTTTAGTTTTTTTTACATAACTCAAAAAGTATTGGTCTGAGGCTGTTGAAATTTTCTGACTTTTCTTACATACCCAAAGCCCTCCCTTGAGGGCTAAAACCGGGCTTTAATACTAACTGCCTGAGTCCTCAGGCACACTGCCTGAATGACTGCTTTTGCCTGTAACAAACTAAATCTTTGTTTTGACCCACTTTCACTTGTCAGATTTTGATAAAATTTAGCTTTTTGGAAAGCGTATGACATAAGGAAACGGATTGCACAAGTTTTGCGAAAAAAATTGCAAATTTTTTGCAAACAACCTGTCAAAGGAAATTTGCACATTTTTAGTTTTTCTTGATTAAAAATCAGGTTAATTAAAATTTTGCAAAAATTTTTGCATATTTGAAATGGCATGGTCAAGGGCTTTTCAAAAATGTATAATTTGTCATTTTTTGGACAATTTTTTTTTTGCAAACATTTTTACTATAAAACTGGATTTTGCGATAAAAAATTCAATTTTCGCAAATTTGCAAAATTTTTTGCAGATTCTAAAAGTAGAGCACAAGAGCTTTCTAATGATGTATCATTTGTCATATTTGGACATAAAACATGGGATTTAGAGGGGGGGGGGGACAAATTGACCCCCCCCCCAGCGTATCCTGGTTTTCAAGTACCCCAGCAGGGATAGGGTTAAAATACAGATTTGGAATAAAAAAAATGTTCTTAAAAAATTAATTTTTTAGAACCTAAAAATGATTGTAATAATGTGTTACAAATTCTTAAGAAGTACACCTTATACATTTTATAAAGAGTATTATATACAACAAACTTTAACTTTGTTTCTTTTCCTAAATAAGTAAAGTTTCTACAACATTTTTTAGAACTTTATTTCCTGAGAAGTCTATATCAGGGAGAAGGTGGGATAATGCTCAAGGTTTTTACATAACTTGGATATTTTCTTTTCTTCTTTACAACCTAATTGTTGATTTATTTACTTAATTAACAGGGGTGGAGAAAAGGTTTTCACACACACACAAACGAACCAACAGAAAAAGTAATTGTAAATCTGTATCACGTCACATGGACACTAACTAAGTGCATCCATGTTTCAGAAAATACTTTCTCATTCTTGGTGAACAATTTTTTATCAAGTTTTCTTGAAAGAACTGTCAGATAAAAAATAATCGAATCGGTAATTTATTCATGGGTTTTTATATATGGTTTAGCTACTATAGATACTATCATGTAAATTTAACGGATCTGGATATATTTCAGAAAGCTGTGACTTTCAATCACAACTTGAACAATTATACATGATCTTTTAGCCTTTTTTTCTTAAAAACTTTTTTGTCTGCATATTCGCTTTGAATTAATAAGAACATTATAGACAAAAATACGTATGATTTTAAATAAAGAAACCGAATGCTTCCCACTCTGGTTAGTCCGGGGTGAGATACTAATTAGATGGTAATAGCTTTGTCTGTTTCTTCAGAAAACTTGTTTTTTTTTTTCCCCAGAATTTTCACTTCCGGAATTTTTTCTTCCGCAATTTGTGCTTCTGACGACTAATTCTGGATGTTTTTGTGAGAAAATGTAATTATGCTAAACAAAATAATAAAAATCTGGAGATGGTAGGAAAATAATCAGGTTTAGAATTAATTTCCCATATTTCTCAAAGAAACAGTTATTTAAACTGGCGTTTTGTAATCCATGGACCATTATTGATTTGAAATGCAACTGTACAATTTTAACTAGAATCGACGATTAAGATAAAAATCATTTATTTTATTTGAAAATTCTTGTGTGAAATTTTTTTTTCAGGTTTCTACTATAATTCTAAACTCTAAAGTCAATGTGAATCAAGGGGGGAAAGGCACGCCACACCCGTATACTTTAATGTCCGCAATTGACAAACATAATATTGCGGCACCGCGCCCATATATGTCTTCCAGCTAAATGTATTTACTTATTATTCAAATTTGGATCACCGATTTAACTCATTCCTTAATTTTAACTTTAAATCGGTGGTTCAAATTTGAACCGGCAGAAGGTAGTTCAGCGAAGCAGATCAAATTCATAAAATTGGGTCCCAAGAATGAACTACCTGATCAAGACTAGATTGTGCTCCACCAGGTGCTCCAGCTCCATCTTGAAGTCCAGCAGGATCCTTCTCATCTTAAATATTCTAATTTTAGAAAAAAAAATATAGAACCTGTTTGGTAGTCTGGCAATAAAGTCGAAGTCCGCAGTCCAAATAAGTCAACATCAATATTAGTAAAGCAATGAAATTAGTCACATTAAAAGTATATAATGCACATAGCAAGTTAATTGACATGATTATGAATCATGAATCAGCGACAATCCTTTTTATGTTTCATTTTATCACCGCTAGAATGTGTTCTCTCCGCGTTATTTCCAAAAATATGGAATTTGATTGATTTAAAAGAAAAGTCGCCATGTTCTATGTAGATAGTTATTCAAGTTAAATCTGTAAAAAAAAAACTGTTTATCATGTGGATAAACTTAGTCTTTACTACCTTCTTCGCCCTGTTCATAAACATGTTTTTAATAACATATGTTACCCTTCCGCTGAGTACCCTCCCTTTCTCATAAACTTCCTCACCACCTTATTACCTTTTTCCTAATATATCATCATTATTAAGTTTAAAATGTGCATTGTAAAGTACAATCACGTAATCATTTACAATTCTCATTCGCTTAAAATGAGCCAATCAATTTAAAAACAACCTCCTCTGGTTAAGCGGGTCCAAACTATATAGCGAATCGTGAATTTGTATTATCTCGTATTTTTTAGTTAATAATATAAAAAATATAAAAAAAGGTACAAGCTATAGGACCTTAATCATTCCTGAATTAGTAAAATAATTTTTGGGGTGAATTGTGAACATCCCTTATAATAGCCTGATTTTAATCACAGATTTGTAAAATATAATTTTTAGATAAATGGGAGGAAAGTTAATTTTTGTTATTATCCTTTCCTATTTATTGCAATTTAAAAAGAGAAAATCCTATATTTAGCACCCCCCGTATAAGTTCAACGTATAGTTTTCATATTAGACGAAAAAGTAAAAAAAAAATCGGATTTGTTATGTTGCGCGCATTTAATAGCTTATTGAATAGTTTTTAAGAATTTTAACAAAATTAAAAACTATTTTTTTTTAAATATTTGGTCATCATGACATATTAGTTTTCTTGTAAATTGCAATGAAATATCTCGACTTTCATTTAGTGTCTATAGCTAATATCTACCTCCCGGTACGACTGGGTCAAACTTTTAAAAGTTTTTAAATTGTGAAACTATATATAAATAAAGCCATTGCAACGAAAAAGCTTGGTTTTCTTTCTTAAAGAATTTCTCTTGATAAATGATAGCCAAGACTTGCGTAGACATGGAAAGGGTTGGAAAGCCGTATAAAATGCGTAAAAAAGGCCTGTAAAGGCCTGGATTGGCATGGAAAGATGTGGTAAGGCATGGGAAGCGTTGAAAGACGTCTGGAAAGACGTTTAAGGCGTGGATACACTATGCATCTGATAAATGTTGATAGGATTTGTAAAGATCGCACTAAAAATTCAAGGGCGGCATAAAATGTAAAATATTTGAATATTTTTCATGCATTTTCTTTTCTTAGCAAATTTGAGAGATATTGTTTCTCAGAATAGAACGGTACCTATTCCTATATAGGAATGAATGAGCAGTCTTATCTTTGATAAAATGTCGATTTGATCTGAAGTTTAGGAATTACAAATAAAAATAACCGCATGAAAAGAAATATTTAAACGCTTGAATTGTTGCTAAATGATAGTCGTTAAGCGCTCTGCAAGCCTATTAGCATAGCAGTTGTTTGACATTTTTGCTTCAAATTGTATTATTAGATAGCTGCTAAATTAGAGACGAATTCTAAGTTGTTTCTCAATTGTGATGAATTCCATGTACGTATAAAGAATACAATCCAATATTTCCAATATAACTCATCTTTTTTCCGAATTTTTTTTTATCAAAATTATAAAACCATGTGAATTTGCTTATTTATACTTGTGTGGAAAATCAAAACTAGTTGAACCGCGAGGTCGTAAAGTCGTATTTGAAATTTTCCTTCTAAATGATAATTTTTAATTCCATTATCCAATAAGTTAAAAGGTGCCAATCATACTTTGCATGTTTTCTATCGACAATTCAAGTAAGATCTGCATTGCTAAAAGTTTAAAATGCAATTCCAAGTATCCTTTAACACGAACTTTATAATAATATGATTTGCCAAAGTATTAAATAATTAAACTTTAATTTAGCATGATGTTTAAGTATATCCCCGTCATTCTTAGAAAAAGGTCAAAATCAAGTACACAAACATATTCAAGACAGGCCTTTTAATTGATGAGGTAGAACAAATATTTCAAGAAAAATTTGAAAGTCTTACTCGATATTAAAAATCAACTGATTTAGTAAAAATTTGTCTGTGCACACTGCACAATGGCTAAATTTCTTTTTCATAGAACTATTTAAAGTTATTACTTGATTCAGTTTTATGATTACCACTGTATATTCATAATCATGGACCACTGGTTTTCAGAATAGATTCCAATCATGTTCAACCAATTTTCAGCGCTGAATCTTTCAAAAGAAGATTTAAAGTGACTTCTTTGATCAATCTTCAACCTCAAAATTCATTCATTTACATTCTTATTGACGGTCTTTTTTCTGCTTTTTATATTTTCAAAAATTTAGAAATGTCTATATAAATTATAAATAACAAATAATTAATTTCTCAATCAAACTTTATTTTTCTTATCTGTACATTGTTCATGTTTGCAACACTTCAGAATTGCATACTACCCCCACCGTGACATCAAGAATTCAGTATAATTTTTAGAATACAGGGTTCAGAGGAATAGTTCTTTCTTATAAATTGGCTAGTTACAAGGACATTAAAAAAATTAATTTCGTTTTATTTTCAAAATTAGCCGAAGTATGATTGAAGGATAGACGATCAAGAAAAAATGAAGAACAAGAAATATAGAAATCTAAAAATATTTCCATCTGATATCATATAGATATTCAAAAATATTGTAAAATTTAAATAAAATAAATTTTTTAAGTTAAACATAGTTTGAAATATAAAAATCTAAGAGAAGCAAAAAAAGATGGTGTCTTAGTTTAAAAAGCAATCTTTTAGTTTTAGATTTTTGAAATCAATCTTTAAGTTTTGTTTTCATTTTGAAAAGCAAATAAAGATCTTTTTGTACTTTCAAAAGCGTTTGATTTCTAAAAACAATCTTTATCTCGTATTTGGAAAATTGAAAAAATGTCTTTTTTTTTCAACGACAGTTTCTTCTCTGACCTTTTATTATATGAACTATAACCCAGTCAGGTGTAGAATATGATGGAACACAAGTATAGTTTCCGGAGTCCCCAGGCACTGTCCTGTCTATATTCAACCAACCCTGAACAAATTTTAAATTGTATAAGAAAGTTTATCAAAAATAACAAAACTTATGTTTGAATTGAACTTTTGATATGAAAATATAACTTTGTTCAGATACTAGTAATTTTGTTATTAAAAAACTTTGTTCTCTTTTTTTTTAAATGGCGTAAAAATAATCCTTTTATTTAGGATTAGATCCTTTTCCGTCTTTTTGCTCTTATATATTCATTAGGGAAAATATTATTAAAACTACATGTCGGAAAAAAACCTCTCCTTGTTTGCAACGAGTTTAATAGTTAATCTCTTATTTTTTTTTAACTGTGAATAGTTTTTATCAAGGGGTGGTACTCCTTTAAATATTAAAGTAAAATCATCATATTAAGAAATAGATTTATATTTATTTTAAATTACTTTTGAGTAACCTTCATGGGATGTTTAAAAAATAAAAAGCAATAGATATTTTATCTAGCTATGAGTATGTGAGAATATTCTAGAATTATTACCTGATATATTTTATCTAGATGAGTGTGTGAGAATATGCTAGAATTATTGCCTGGATAAAAAGCAATAGATATTTTATCTAGCTATGAGTATGTGAGAATATTCTAGAATTATTACCTGATATATTTTATCTAGATGAGTGTGTGAGAATATTCTAGAATCATTGCCTGGTATATTTTATCTAGATGAGTATGGGAGAATATTCTAGAATTATTTATATTTTATCTAGATGAGTGTGTGAGAATATTCTAGAATCATTGCCTGGTATATTTTATCTAGATGAGTATGGGAGAATATTCTAGAATTATTGCTTGGTATATTTTATCTAGATGAGTATAGGAGAATATTCTAGAATTATTGCCTGGTATATTTTATCTAGATGAGTATGGGAGAATATTCTAGAATTATTACCTAGTATATTTTATCTAGATGAGTATGAGAGAATATTCTAGAATTATTACCTGGTATATTTTATCTAGATGAGTATGGGAGAATATTCTAGAATTGATACCTAGTATATTTAATCTAGATGAGTATGTGAGAATATTCTAGAATTATTACCTGGTATATTTTATCTAGATGAGTATGGGAGAATATTCTAGAATTATTACCTGGTATATTTTATCTAGATGAGTGTGTGAGAATATTCTAGAATTATTACCTGGTATATTTTATCTAGATGATTATGGGAGAATATTCTAGAATTATTGCCTGGTATATTTTATCTAGATGAGTATGGGAGAATATTCTAGAATTATTCCCTTGTATATTTTATCTAGATGAGTGATGAGTATGGGAGAATATTCTAGAATTATTACCTGGTATATTTTATCTGGATGAGTATGGGAGAATATTCTAGAATTATTACCTAGTATGTTTTATCTAGATGAGTATGGGAGAATATTCTAGAATTATTGCCTGGTAAATTTTATCTAGATGAGTATGGGAGAATATTCTAGAAGTATTGCCTGGTAAATTTTATCTAGATGAGTGTGTGAGAATATTCTAGAATTATTGCCTGGTATATTTTATCTAGATGAGTATGGGAGAATATTCTAGAAGTATTGCCTGGTAAATTTTATCTAGATGAGTGTGGGAGAATATTCTATAATTATTACCTAGTATATTTTATCTAGATGAGTATGTGAAAATATTCTAGAATTATCACCTAGTATATTTTATCTAGATGAGTATGTTAGAATATTCTAGAATTTTTACCTGGTATATTTTATCTAGATGAGTATGGGAGGATATTCTAGAATTATTCTTTACTTCAGGATCCAGTAATCTCTGATCTTGGAACCAGTGTAGCACTCCGGTATCCCTGAAATATTTACAGATATATACTGTATCTTGTATAATGTATACTGTATCATGTAACATGAATTCTGAATCCCTGAAATATTTACATATATATACTTTATCTTGTATAATGTTTACTGTATCATGTAACATGTATCCGGTATCCCTGACATTTTTAAATATATACTGTATCTTGTATGATGTGTACTGTATCATGTAACATGTATCCGGTATCCCTGAAATTTTTACATATATACTGTTTCTTGTATGATGTGTACTGTATTATGTAACTTGTATCCGATATCCCTGAAATATTTACATAAAAACTGTATCTTGTATAATGTGAACTATATCATGTAACATGTATCCGATATCCCTGAAATATTTACATATATACTGTATTTTGTATAATGTATACTGTATCATGTAACATGCATCCGGTATCCCGGGGAAATGTATTCTGTATGAATTATCCCAGAAATAATTATATTTTGTTTTTTGTTATTTTTATCCAGCTTTCCGTATCCCTGAAATGGTTATGATATTTGTATCTTTTATTCCATTATTTGTATCCTATATCAATGAGAGAAAATTATTGAATACATTGTTGTCTTTGAAATGTCCATAGTTTGTGGTTTGACCCTGTAGGATATCAGTTAGCTGGGGTTTAAGAATACAATTTCGATCTAGTAAAACCAGGGTTTTCAAGATATAGTATAAACATAACTCAAGAACCCCTTAACCGATTTGCCCCAAATTTTGATTGGGGACGTTTGTCGAACCTCGGTAATCATCATAGCTTATTTTAAAAAATATCAGTTGAATTTATTTAGGCAAAGCTGGGTTCCCAAGCTTGTATTATATTCCTGTTCATTGTTCAATATTTGCAGTATTAGTGTGCTAAGTCTCTTATATAAACTGTAATCACTAAACTGAATAGATCTAATATCCTATTTTTAATTTTCAATAAAGACGATTTTTTAAAATTATATTTCTGTACAGCGCTTTAATTTCATAATCCTTATGCCTTTGTAACCTTTTGTCGTGGACATTTTAAATTGCAAACCCAAACAAATTACATGGGTTAAACACCACTGTACTACGTTTAGGATTCTTGCATATTTTGACATCACCAGGTTGGTATGAAAATAAATATCAAAAATAAAAACAACTTTAAACCATTTTAAAGTTACCTGAAATGTTGGTCTGGACCTGATGGACCTAGGTTGACCCTGCACACTAGCCGCAGCGCACTTCCAGCCTTCAGGTACAGTTCCTTTGGGCCGGTCACCTCAGCTCTAGATTTAGTTTTTTAATTAAAGGTCTGTACACATGACACTCCATTCAGATAGTGCCATGTCCGATTCACAATGTATACCATTAAAAATTTTTCCTGATCAAGTAGAAATTAGACATCCATGTTAATAATTTAAAAAATCGATTATTTTCAATTGGGGGTCTCTAGAAAAGGCATTTTTTCTGCTAAAGCAAAGGATGCTGGACATATTAGAATCAAACTCTGTTCAAGCTTAAAATACGACGTAATCACAAAGACAGCAATTTCATTAAGAATATTTTTATAATGGCTTGTACGTTTACTATATTTTTTATAATTTAAACCTTTAGTCAGGTCTATAAATATGAACCCCGACATCGGAAACTGGAAGTCTCATTAAGATTGTATATTTTTATAGAAATTATGATTTCATTCTCTTCTATAATTCATTAACAGTCAGCTATGATATGCATTTTCTGCTTCTTAAATAAAAAGTGCATTAATTTTATTTTTTCGGGGGGGAGGGGCACCCCGAACTAACCAGAGAGAGAATCCTCCCAATCTAAATTAGACAAAAATAGGGTTTAAATCGGGATAGGGTTAAATAATAGGGTTAATATTTATATCAAAATGTTGCCTCTCTTCTTTCCTGGATGCAGCAATAAGTAGAACAGAGTTAACTAACAGATTATTTTAAACTTTACATTTATTTCCTATTTCCTACAAGAACTCAACTAAGGATGGGCATTAGGCAAGTTCTATAAATGAATGGAAAGCTTTTAAAATTGATGAAAATTCCTTAAAAAACCGAACAGAAATAACCGTGAAGTTAATTGATTCTTATGCCAACTCAATCTTAACTTTAAAATTCGGTGATGTTGATGGACCAAACCTCTGAAGAGTAAAAAAGTAGATGTTAGTTTCACATTTATTGAAAGTATATTTCTGTCTGGGTTTACTCTTGTCAGTTCTATCGATATATAATAACCATCAAAATCGATAAAAAAAAAAAAAATTTTGTTAAAAATCACAAGAAAATAAAAAAACAAAAAAGATTATTCAAAATAAAAGCTTATATGTTTTGGGTAGTTTAGAGCAGGGTTGGACGAAAGACACAAAGTTCTGTAAGGATTTTTAAAAATTGGTGTAAAATTCCGTTATTTGTAGAAAACTAATGGTTATTTGTTGAACATATCCGTTATGTTAATTTAACATATAACGTTTGAAAAAAGGAGCTTGACGCCCAGCACTGCAGGTTTAGCTAGAGAATTGTTATATTTTCCAGTTCAAGCTTAGGATATAATAGTATTCTGTGTGGGACTACACATTTACTGTTTAAATATTAAGTAGGATTAGATTTATTTCTCTTCATTCTTCACAACAACATGCTCAGCTCTAATCCATAATGTCTCATTTAATGAGTCATTTTTTTGCTAGAATTGAGCCAAACAGCCGCATTTTCTCACATAGTATACAATAAACTAAGTGTAATGTTGTTGGAAAATGAATTGCTTCTTTTATAAGTATCGACAAAATTTTAAAAGACTTCCTGCTAAATATATTGTTTATAAGATAAGAAAGAAAGTTAAAGAAAGAAACTGATTATTCGCCTAAAACAATAATGTTCTTTTCCTTATTTAACTTCTCGGCTTTTAGGACGCTTCGCACCCATCTGATATTTCAACCTTTTATCGTGGCATATCAAGTGAATATCTTCTCTTTGTAAAATTGAAACAATAACAAAAAAAATCACGGATTTAATAATATTTTTTTGCGCATCTTTAAAATTTGACTAAAACACTTACTTGTGTGCATACATTTTGTAATTTTGAGCATCCAAAAACATTCCCTGGGGTCATGTGAGGTCCGTTTTAACATTTATTGGATACGGATAGGCAACGTTAACTCTTTGATTTTTAGAACTTAGACTTTTTGATCTAGCAGAATTTTTACAGTTTGTAAAAAAAATATTTCTTCTGCATCAGGTTGGTTAAGATATAAGGAGGGTAAAATAAAAGTTCCTTCAGCAAGATACAAATTGATAAAACGGGAAATTCTAAAAACACCTTACAGGGCTCCCGAGGAGAAAGGTCCGGGCCTAGAGAATTGTTTTAAAATCGGATTCTTTAAGTTGAGACATTTTTCAATATGAATTATGGTAGATGTAAAGAATGGATCAGGAATAGGATGGAACAGGAATAGGAAGGAGATGGAAAAGGATTGAACAGGAAAAGGACGGAACAGGAATAGAATGGAACAGAAACAGAATGGAACAGGAAAAAGAAGAAACAGGAATAGGATTGAACAGGAATAGGATGGAACAGGAATAGAATGGAACAGAAACAGAATGGAACAGGAAAAAGAAGAAACAGGAATAGAATGTAATAGTAACAGGATGGAACAGGAATTTAATGGAACAGGAACAGGAGGGAACAGGAAAAGGATGGAACAGGAACAGGATGGAATAGTATTAGTATGGAACAGGAACAGGATGAAACAGGAATACGATGGAACAGGAACAGGATGGAACAGGAATAGGAAGGAATATTAATAAAATGGAACAGGAACAGGATTGAACAGAAATGGAACAAACCAGGAATAGGAAGAAACAAAGAATAGGATAGAACAGAAGTAGGAAGGAGAAGAGTAAAGGATTGAACAGGAATAGAATAGAACAGGAACAGAATGAAAGGTACAGTGAAGACAACTACAGGGTGCTAACAGAATAAAACAGGAAAAAGGATGGAAAAGGAACAGGATGGAACAGGATAGAACAGAAATTGGACTGAACTGGATATGATCTAAATGAGTCAAACAATTTAATTGATTATAGGCGCAAAGTAGAAAAAGTACAGCATTATTGGAAAACAATTTGAAATATAGAACTTCAAATTTCAAAACTAATCCTAAACTTACGCATTTATACTTTACAAAACTGTGCAGGAATCAAAGTTTTCATAAACGTTTATTCCAGCAAGTTTCCTTTGAAATTTTTGATTATTAACACAGACTGTTTCATTTTGACTTCTAATGGTAAAAAATTGTATTCTAAAAATGTTTAAAGAATTTTATTTTAAATCAATATGCAATATGGATGTGTGTTACTATTTTCATTGTATCCATTTATTGTTTATTGGAATATAAAAATGTATCCATCTATGGATGGATCGTTTTGTTTTAAAATCGACGAATAAAAAACGAAACAATAATTTTTTGTTTTTTTGAAAAAAAACTTTCGATTTTTAAAACGACCCATTGTTAAGGACTGTTTACGACGACCCTTCGTTAACCAACGTTAACAACGACCCTTCGTTAAAGATCTTTAACAACCTTTTTAAGAGAAAAAACATTTTTTGGTCGGAAATTCAGAGCTCATATTTTTTTTTTGTCAGAAAACACAAGGTTAGTAAGCATTAAGGTTATTTGTCTGGATAAAAAAACCTTTAAGACAACTTTCATAGCTTTATCTTCCTGAAAAAAATGAAAATTAATTGTCTTAATACTCAGATTCATTAGCGAACTTTTTTCAAAAACAATCGTTTTTCGTTTTTATTAAAAAACGATCGTTTTCGTAATTTGAAACTTAATAAAGTGGTTCGTTCTCAAAAAACGATATTTTGTTTCCTAAACCGAAACGATCGTTTTAAGAAAAAAATAATGACGAAACGAAAAACAATATTTTTTTCGATCGTTTTTAAAAACGATTTACAACCCTAGATTTACAAAAACTTTTCTTTTTGTATTTACTCAATTCTTGAATGCAAATATTGGTTATGCTGCCTTGTTATTGAAATATTGCATGAAGTTTTAAACGAAATCTAAACTGTACAGAGCTAGACAACTTGTTTTTAATTTCTTTAGAATATTCTATAGAACCAAATATTTAAGTACATAAAGACAATATATAAAACAAGTCTATAAAAGAGAACAAGGACTATAGTTTAGTCACGAAAAGTAAATTTCTTCTTAGATTGAATTATTAAGTTTTTTTGCTTTATGAAGAAGTAATCTCAAGTAACCCCTACACTAAGAGTGTACACTAGCATCCCAGAACAACAAAGATACCCTTTAGTTCTTTGTCTGTTCAACAATGAAGAAAAAATCGTCATCTTGAAAAGTGTGCTAAAAATGCTCTTATCAATTTTTAATTTGAATACAAAATATTTTTCTACAATTTGAAGGTTGAAAGGATCAGCAGGGGTCTGAAAGGGACTGTAAGCGTAACTTCAAGTGCCCCTCCATGCAAAGATGGCAATGTCCGATTCACAACGGTACCCGTAGAGCTATGTTGGATTAGTTATGAATTAGATATAAATGTTTAGAATTTTGAAACATGTTTAGTTTTAATTGTGGTTTCTTTACAAGAGTGACTTGCGCATTTCTCCTGCAGAATTAACCTTTTATTGAGCTAGAAAAACGAAAATATCTTCCACATTTTTGATGATATAAAAGTTTCAATAGTACCTTTGTGAATCAGGCAGTGCCTTTGCATGAAGTTTTTCTTATAGTTGCTCCCACAGTTTCTTTAATATGTAAATTTGAACCAATTTTACCTTGTTTCTTGAACCACAAGGTTGACCGTCCAATCTCCCTTTGGTTCTGTATTTGTCTGGCACTGGTACCGTCCTGCATCCTCCCCACCAACCAGTCCTAGCCGCAGCTCCCACACTCCTGTGCCGTGCTTAGACACCTGAGTGCAGTTTTATTGAAACATTAAACAATTATGCTACAGAAATTGAGTTTTTGCCACAAACTCAAATTTTTTTTTCCGACATTTTTTTATCTAATGGTGTAAACCTGGAACATTTTCAACTTCGAATATATGACTAAATATCTGAGATTGTGGCAGCTTCCTTTACTATTAGCCCTAACCATTAGCCATCAGCCATCTTTAGGTCTTAATTTATAGGTATTTCAAGTGACCCTAGCTTTCTTTTTAGAGTGGCATGTCCTATTCATAATGGTACCATTTAAACACTGTGCTCCCATAGCAGAGTTATATTTCTACCTGAACTCTTGAATCTGATGTAAACACTGTGCTCCCATGACTAAGAATTACAAGATCTCTCCTCCTAACCCAGGATATCTAGGAAGACAAATCTCAGAATTAAGAATTGATCTTCTGCATAAGTACGGCCTAAAATAATTCCTTTTCGAATCCCTTGTCAATCGTATTCGTAATCGTATTCTTGCAGGAATAACTAAAATGTAAGGATTCAGTATTGATCCTCGATTCAAAAGTTCCCACATTGGATATCAAGATCAAGATTAAGAAAACTCAAAAGCTCTCGTATCAGAAATAACAATTTAAATGAATAAGGAAGTCCAAGTTCTAAAGAAACTAACTTTAAAAAGAAAGATAATTTCCTGTCACGTCTCGCAAATGAGAATGTAAAGAATGATTCGAAACTTTGTATTTTGAGAAGAACGGACGAGTGCAAAAGTGTTTGTAGTGGAACCAAGCGGACCCGTAGAAGTTAAACTGTTAAAAGTTTTCTGCAGTTCTTATACTTGGCATAGTTTTAGCATTGTTAGGATAACATTCTTTCTATAAATATTAAACTTGACAAAAAGCTGGAAGAAGATAACTTGGAACAGACTGGACACAAAGAATTGAATTATATTCTTTAGTCTTTGCATTCGTGGATGTCTAAGACATAATACTCAATTTAAACTTGGAATCGTAATATTAAAGGTTTCAAGTCATCTTTACAGTCTCATCCTTGGTGGGTAACATTGTATATGCAAAAGTCCTTTTTCAAATCGGGTTCTAAATTTAGTGATTATTTTGAGGACCGTTATTAAAAATTTACTGTTTTTTTACTATAAAAGTGCCAAACAAAGTTATCAAAGTTATCAATTGCAGATTGGTATTCTCGATAAGTTTGCGCATTTTTATTACATTATGCAATTTTTTTCTCTCTCTGATAAAAGATATTATTTGTGAAAAATCGTTTTTGTTAATATCTTTTGTTAGAATAAAAATATTGTAATGTATAATGTTAACAATGTCAAATTTGACTTGTATGAAATTTTTAAATGGGATTCATATCTCAGATTTTTGTTGCGCCTCTTAAAAGATAAAAAAACTTTCAATAATTATTAACGAGCCAAAATGATTACCATCGTAGTTCTAATGCAAAAATGCAAAAGTAAAGGTTGAACATATTTTTTTTGCCAAAGAAAGGAAATTTAGAGTCAATATTTCACTGTAAGTTCTCCGGGTACACAGTTCCACTGTATACAATAATTTATAATAAAGTGTTATTAAATCTTAACATTCTACAGCGTTAAGCTATAAGTACACATTTACAATTAAACATTCTAGGAAGTACAGCAAATTTTAACATTTTTTGAAGGGGGGTGGAGGGACTGGCACAGTATAAATTTGTCTTAAATTTAATTCTACATCATCATATATATATATATGAACCAGCTTTTTCTTTCACTGACATTTATGGAAATTTTTGATTTCATTAAGATATATTTTAGATTGTAATTTACTTTGATGTAATCATCAAAAGATTAATGTTACAATTTCTTAAAACGATGATATATTGATAAGTCTTGAAACTCCTTTCAGAATATCCGAAAACCTTCATTTAAAATCATTACTTTTAGCCATGTAACTCTGCAGGAAACACAATGATTGCAGGGTTTAAATTATGCCGTTATGAGCATGGTTAAAATTACATTGGGGTGTTTAGTTGTCTCGTTTTCTAGTTGTTGTTTAACGGTCTAGTTTTCTAGTTGTCTAGTTGTCTAGTTGTCTAGTCATCTAGTTGTCTAATTTTCTAGTCGTCTAGCTGTCTAGTTGTATAGTTATCTAGTTGTTTAGTTGTCTTGTTGTCTAGTTGTCTAGCTGTCTAGTTTTATAGTTGTATAGTTGTCTAGTTTTCTAGTGTTCTAGTTGTCTACCTCTAAATCTGGCTCCTGAACTCCCAAACAGCAGAACAGCCTAGCTGTCAGACCAGCGTGTGTTGTTACGTTCTTCTGAATATACAATAATTAACATTAAAAAACAAAAAACTGACCCTGGTTTGGTTTTGATAAACATTTACCTGAACCTGGTTTGGTTTTGATAAACCTTTTCCTGACCGTGGTTTGGTTTGGATACACACTTACCTGACCCTAGTTTGGTTTGGATCAAAAATACCTGACCATGGTTGGGTTTGGATAAACATATACCTGACCCTGGTTTGGTTTTGATAAACATTTACCTGAACCTGGTTTGGTTTTGATAAACATTTTACTGAGCCTGGTTTAGTTTGGATACACACTTACCTAACTCTAGTTTGGTTTGGATAAACATATACCTGACCCTGGTTTGATTTTGATAAGCATATTCCGGACCCTGGTTTGGTTTTGATAAACATATACCTGGCCCTGGTTTGGTTTTGATAAACATTTTCCTGACCCTGGTTTGGTTTTGATAAACATATACCTGACCCTGGTTTGGTTTGGATTCACACTTACCTGACCCTCGTTTGGTTTTGATNACCCTTACCCTGGCTTGGTTTGGAGAAAACATATACCTGACCCTGGTTTGGTTTGGATAAACATATACCTAACAAATATACTTGTTTGTTTTAGATAAACATATACCTGACAAATTTACTTGTTGTTTTAGAGAAACATTTACCTGACAAATATCCTGGTTTGGTTTGGTTTGTAAAGATATCTTGAAAGGCAGAAAAACTAAAACGAGAAGATTAAATATTAATGTATTTCATTCTTTAAACAAAACTTTAAATTCTTCAAAGATAAAAACTTGCATCTTATTATTTTTTATTCTTAGAAGGGAAAGCATGTTCAAACAAAATTCGGAAAATTGTTTTAAGAAATTTTTGCTTCAACAGTGTTTTAAACTTAAAAATGAAATCTGGATTAAGCTTAAAACCATCTGACAGCAGAAAACATGTTTTTAAAGGTAGTTCAATTTTATTTTCTTTATTTGACATTCCTTTTTGCTTTTTAGATTAAGTTTTTTTTCCGCTTCATAATTCAAATTAAAAAACAAAAAAATATTTTCATCTGAAAAATACGATTACTCTCAAAGGGTTGATAAAAAACAGGTAAAAAACATATTATGAAACATTTCTAACTGGGACCACGTATCTCAAAAGCTTGTAATAAATGTAAAATATGTTTAGTCTTTCTAAACTTGTAGCAAAAATCGTGTAAACATGATATTCTGTAAACTTGCAGTTCATTCTACATTTTTAATGATTTAATGTTGTAAATTCAGACATAATGCAATTATTCATTGAAACTGTCTTTCAATTGAATACTTAACATGATTAGCATAAATCGTGCGACATACTTAAATTACACTGAACTGCGTTATATCTATTCTCTCTAGTCTTATAAATACGTACATTAAACTTCAACTGTGCGATAAATATGTAACGGTCTGATTCATGTTATATAGATAACATCGTAGGAATTGTAACTTCGGCAAGTCCTGGCAACTTTGTACTTCTATAGAGTAACTTCGTACTGTTTACTGCTTGAGATCGAGTAGACCTGAAACCCTGAAACTTGTATTCAGGTCGATCGTCACCTATAGTTTGGTATCTATATCTAGCTTGTACAGATAATAAGACTAAAACCCCGGTTTGATAAGCAGGTCGATCGTCACCTATAGTTTGGTATCGATATCTAGCTTGTACAGATAATTAGACTAAAACCCTGGTTTGATAAGCAGGTCGATCGTCACCTATAGTTTGGTATCTATATCTAGCTTGTACAGATAATTAGACTTAAACCCCGGTTTGATAAGCAGGTCGAATTGTCCCCATCATTTGGGATCGATATCTAGCTTGTTGGATAGCTAGGCTTGTGTTTGTAAATTCAGACATAATGCAATTATTCATTGAAACTGTCTTTCAATTGAATACTTAACATGATTAGCATAAATCGTGCGACATACTTAAATTACGCTGAACTGCGTTATATCTATTCTCTCTAGTCTTATAAATACGTACATCACACTTCAACTGTGCGATAAATATGTAACGGTCTGATTCTTGTTATATAGATAACATCGTAGGAATTGTAACTTCTGCAAGTCCTGGCAACTTTGTACTTCTATAGTGTAACTCCGTGCTGTTTACTGCTTGAGAGTAGACCTGAAACCCTGAAACTTGTATTCAGGTCGATCGTCACCTATAGTTTGGTATCTATATCTAGCTTGTACAGATAATTAGCCTAAAACCCCGGTTTGATAAGCAGGTCGAATTGTCCCCATCATTTGGGATCGATATCTAGCTTGTTGGATAGCTAGGCTTGTGTCCTTGTGTGGCATTGAAGCACTGTAGCCCTGTGTTGATATGTATAACCAGGTTGGATCGTCCCCATCACATGGGATTGATATATGTATTATAGCTTGTTTGAAAGCTAATTTTGTGTCCCTGTGTGGCAATGTGTGGTTGATTTTGATAGCTGACGGATTGTACCTAAATAGATATGTTCGAGACCTTGTTATGAAGTAGGTGTTTACTACAAACTTTGTTTTAATAACTCAAAATATGTACACAAAAATAACAATTTTGTTTAGTCATTTAAATAAAAAAATTGCCATTTTTATATCTTCCTAAGCTTAATGGTTCGCTGACTTTGTTTTTTGGCCCTTTTTGAGCTCAGGGAATAAAATTGACAAATTTAAAAGATTTTTCAGAATTAAGATTGATCCATCTTGAAAACTTGACCTTTTACATTTCAAATTTGTCTGGAAGTTAATTTGAAATCCACCTTCGGAAAATTCAGACGGAGAAAGGATTTTCTGCATCAAGAATCCAGGGATAATTTGGACTGTATTCACAAATGCATTTCAAATCATATTCAGCCAACTTTATTAATAAATCAATAAATGTATTTTTGATACTTTGACAATAAATTTTAGATTTTTCTGTGTAAACTGTGTTAATTTAATCGTTAGATTAAGATAAAATTGAGGCCCACTATAAACAGACAGATGAGATATCTTATTTTTATATTATCAATATTTTAAATGCTAATTTTTTTTTTTTTAACTTCGTATTTGATAAAAAATTCAACAGCTTCTTGTATCATAAAAATTGAAACACTAGTATCATTAACTTGTGTGTAATCTAAACATTCATCAATTGCCAGATAGTTTAAAAAATGGCATGTCTAATTCACAATGCTAATTTAAAAACTTTCTCTGATCAAGTATGAATTAGATGTCCGGCCAGAGGCCGAATTTAAAGAATTTTAGCCGCGGCTCGAATATCGAAGTGATTCCACTAAACATTTTATTGAATTGAAGATCTAAGCCGTCGCTTGATTGAAACCGGTTATTGGCGGATTTGAGACGCAGCTCAAATTCATTAAATTCGGACTCAGGTTTTTGTTTAAAAGACTTTTATTTGTGGTTCCTCTACAAAAAGTGATTTGAGCATTTCATGACAAAGAAATTATTTGGTTAAATTAACAGATGAACACTTTTAACCCTATAAATAGGAAGGTATTCTCCCCAGATTAAGGTTTAAAGGTATTCTCCCCAGATTAAGGTTTAAAGGGTACTGTTGTGAATGAGGTGTGCAAGTCCTCTAGTCCCTTTAATACAGAATACACCTTATATGCCTGAAGAATCCCTTCTAGTAAAGATAAAGACTAAATGTATTTTCAAGTAATCTCTTCAATCCGCTTAACTTTGACACATGTTTGTGTACTTTTATCATGAAGCAACCTCAGCAACATAATTCCAGAAACTTTATCAGCTTTGATAAATTAAAAATATTTTACAGAGTTTTTAAAATACGTCTTTAAGTGTCCTTTTTCTAGTAACAATTTTATCTGTTCACTATTTCTCTTCAGCATAATTGCTATTCGCAGATTTTCCGCTTAAAGGAATTGAGTTTTTGCCACAAACTCTGATTTTCTAATCCCGATATCTTGCAACACAATGTCGTAGACCTTAGATATTTCAAACTATGAATTCTGTTAAATCAAATAATCTAATTTTGAAATTTAAAAGGTTTACACCATCAGCTTGCAAAGATATAAGTATTATAAAATCAGAGTTTGTGGTAAAAACTCATTTTCTTTAAGCAATAATAAATTTCAAGATTTTTCTTGGTCTAAATATTTAATTTTCATTGGTTCATGTGAGTTGCTAAAATCAAATTCAATGCCCGATTTCGCCGTTTTGATAGATTTGACGTTTCTTTGATCCAAACAGAAAAGCTAATGAGCAAAGCATTCATGTATATAAATTTATCAAAAGACCCCGTTGCACCAACCGCCTTAAATATGCAGTTTTCAGGGATAAATTAGGATGAATTACCTTCAAAGTATGATTGCATAATATGATATGAATTCTTAATTCAGTGTTGACAGTCAAAATTAAGTTTAATTTTAGGCGCTAAATAATATTTGAGAAGAAATGTTTAAAGTGCATACAATACTGTTAAAGAAATATATCCTATAGTTTTCAACCATTTTCGCCTTTATAAACGTGTAAGATAAAATTTAATTACTAACGATCAAATCCTGAATTGATTAGGATTCTACCTGTAATTTAACCCATTGATTATACCCCTGGGTTTGTAAAAATTTTCTGGTTTTACCTGAAATTCCTAGAATATGAAGAATACTCAGCATTTTTCAGCAAAATTTTTTATCTGAAATTTTTAATGAAAGATATAAATATCTTTCACTCTCAATTGCACTTACAAATATTGAAATCTTTAAGGTTATCAGAGCTCATCTTATTGAAGAGGAAAATGTTTTGAATTATTAATATGCAACCAGATTATTTTGCTTTTTCTCCTACTTGTGGTAAATAAAACAAGTCTTTGCCACAAACATCGTTTTTATAATCTTATATCTGTGAAACAAGTCATAGACGTTACATATTTCAAACTATGAATTCTCTTAGATCAAATAATCTAAGTTTGAAATATCAATGTTTACTCCATTAGGTTGCAAAGAAATTGGTTTTAGTAAATGTGAATTTGTGACAAAGACTCAGCTAGTATACTTTATAATAAAGCTCTTTGCTCATGAATATATATTTGTATATATATTAGCCAAAGATGTCCAAACAGTTGGACCAAATGGGCTGAAATTATTTAAGGGAACCCATGGGTTCACTGGGTACCCCGGGGGTAGAAAATTAAAATTTTGTTTTTAAAATAATTTAATTTTTTTCATCCCACGGGCAACGCCGAGCACTTTACCTAAGGTCAAATTAACCTTTTCTTCTTCTTTATTGTTTTCCTTGCTTTAAAACTTTAAGATAAATAGCACGATCACGGTAACACTGAATTATTAATAAAATACTTTCTTTTTATTAAAATCAGAAAAACGGAAACTGTATTTCTTCTATATCTTCACAGCCCAAAGTCGTAAACTTTAGATATTTCAAACAATGAATTGTTTATAACTTTGAAAACTGATTAATTTTTAATGTGGATTTCTACAAACGTGACTTGCACATTTCTTCTACAGGGAAATACATAGAAATTATCATAATTATCCACTCTTAGAAGAAAAAACAAACAATTTTTGACATTAAAGATCAGATAAAGGTTTCCAGGGTACCGCATGTGAATCGGGTATTGGCATCGATGCAAAGAACTGATCCATTGAAATTATGCTCACCAATACCGTCCCTTCAAGAATGGGACAAAATTTAGAAAAAGGAACTGAGCTCTTGCCACAAAATCCAATTTACTTTTACTTATATCTTGGCAGTCTGATTGTGTAAGCCCAGGATATTACAGACTATTCGATTATACAGTTTGAAATATCAAATATCGGCATGGAAAAATAAAGGAAATTAATAGAGAAGATTTTTAGCAAAAAGTTAATTCCAAGGGGGAAACCAACGTTTATGTTTTCCATATAAGCAAAAATAATTAAGTTATAAAATTTATCCAACTTATAAAAGTATAATAAACTTAAAAACTTAAGTAATACTGAATTAATTAATGGAAAAGTCTTTTACAAATTTAGCATATAAAACAGGTACAAATTAAGAAAGAATTAATTTTCGAAAACGAAAATGTCCAGGTATCAGGGTATACGATAAGAACTGGTCTCGGTGGAGTCCTGAGACGGAGTAAGGCCGGGAAACTGCTCCGAGGAAAGACTTTGTGACGGTCGGAGAATAAGAGAAATCCAGGAGACAAACTCGTATTCCGGAGGTATTTCAGAACCAACCTGAAATCCAGGAGATAAAATTGTATTCCGGAAATATTTCAGAACCAACCTGAAATACAGGAGATAAACGTATATTTCGGAGATATTTTAGAACCAACTTGAAATAAAGGAGATGAAATTATATTCCGGAGATATTTCAGAACCAACCTGAAATCCAGGAGATAAACTTGTATTCCGGAGATATTTCAGAACCAACCTGAAATACAGGACATAAACTTGTATTTCGGAGATATTTCAGAACCAACCTGAAATCCAGGAGATTAAACTATATTCCGGAGATATTTCAGAACAAACCTGAAATCCTTGAGACAAACATAAATTCCAGAGATATTTCAGAACCAACCTGAAATACAGGAGATAAACTTATATTCCGGAGATATTTTAGAACCAACCTGAACTCAGGGAGATAAAATTATATGCCGGAGATATTTCAGAACCAACCTGAAATACAGGAGATGAACTTATATTTCAGAGATATTTTAGAACCAACCTGAAATACAGGTGAATAAATTATATTCCGGAGATATTTCAGAACCAACCTGAAATCCTTGAGAGAAACATATATTCCGGAGATATTTAAGATTTATAATTGTATACCTGGGGATAGTACAACGTTATTGTATAAAGGGTTACCCACGAAGAATGAGACTGAAGCGCTATTTATATGACGATCTGAGCTATCTGGTCGTCTGTTTTGGTGTTTATACTTGATGACTTTGCAAAAAAAAGACACACTTTAAATGTTCAATAAATCCAGGAGATAAAATTGTATTCCGGAAATATTTCAGAACCAACCTGAAATACAGGAGATAAACGTATATTTCGGAGATATTTTAGAACCAACCTGAAATACAGGTGAATAAATTATATTCCGGAGATATTTCAGAACCAACCTGAAATCCAGGAGACAAACATCTATTCCGGAGATATTTCTGATTAATTGTATACCTGGGGAATGGGGATAGTACAGCGTTATTGTTTACAGGGTTACCCACGAAGGATGAGACTGAAGTCCTATTTATATGACGATCTGAGCTATCTGGTCGTCTGTTTTGGTGTTTATACTTGATGACTTTGCAAAAAAAAGACACACTTTAAATGTTCAACGAAACCAGAACGGAGTGTCTATTTAAGCCAAGTAAAGCTCAAGCCAGCACTCGAGTTTAGGGTAGACTTAAGGTTAGCATAAAAACCAATCGACTTGGTTTTTTAACTCTTGAAGGCTCGAGTCCCCAAAGGCTAGAGATGATAAATATTTATTATTATATTTTACATTTAAAATCTCCGGAATTATTAATAAAATTGGCTAGATTTATAAAATGAACACGCGATGGAAATAATAAAATTATGTTCTCTCATTGGTCAACGAAGAACCAATTAGAATCATTGTCCATTGGATCTAATTGTAGACCCAAGGGACGACCTGAGCGCGGAAGAAAGGGTTAATACGTTTAACAAAGTCGTTTCTAAAGTTTCTGTATCTGGAAAACCTCTGGCCAGTCTAGATAACAATAGTATTAAATAACCTGAATTTGAAACAAGATATAATATCTTAGTGTAGACTGAACAAGATACAATATCTTAGCGTAGACTGAACAAGATATAATATCTTAGCGTAGACTGAAGAAAATCTTCCAAACTTTCCTGTAAATGTAAATGAAAGATTTGTATATGACACTTTAATTAATTCTGGAAATCCAGGAACTTTAGAAATAAATAGTTTTAAGAAACTTATTTTTCTTTTTCAAGTTTCTATTGTAGATTGCTAGTTTGCCTGACTCCAGAGTCAAGGGTGTGTATTTAAACTATATATTATATTTAAATCTAAAAGTTAAATACAATTTCTTTAAATATCCGTTTTGTGTACTCTATGCAGTTGAATATTCATCAATCAAGTTTCAAAGTAAAACAGTGTTCCCTCCCCCTTCTCCTGTTCATAAAGGCAAACCCCAGCTTTATTAAATAAGGCAAAAATAGTTTTAAAATCTAAACTTTAATCGATAATTCTTGAATAAAAATTATTGTTTCATGGAATCCGAGCAACTTGTTAAACATTTACCGGGAAATCTATATATTACTATAAACAGTAAAATACAAATAGTAAATAAAAATAAAATTTTCCACAACAGATTTTAAATTGTAATTTCAGTCAGTTTCCGGATTTTGAGAAAAAAGAATGATCGATAGAAAGCAAGGAAGGAGATTAATATTCTAGCAAGTACGAGATGAGGAGGAGCGCTGAACTAAGAATTGAGCCGAAGGGCACAGGGATTTAAAGATTGTTAGCTCTCTCGAAAAAGTCTATGAGAGTTTTTCCAATTACTTCTAAAACACAAAAGCTAAACAATAGATTGTTGATAGCTAAGCTTGTGTCCCTGTGTGGATTTATAGCCAGAGTAATAGCTTGTTTTATAGTTACGCTTGTGTCCCTGTATGGTATTTAGAGCCAGAGTAATAGCTTGTTTTATAGCTACACTTGTGTCCCAGTGTATGAGGGGTGTGGGGAAGGTGTATAAGGTGGAAGGGGGAAGTAATTTTTGTGTCCATCTATTTTTATATACTGGCTTTTCTGAAATATGAAAGTTTTATTTCCCTAGCTCAATTATTTCCAAAGTTATTTTTAGTTTTCGACAGCTTTGTATCTCAAAAAAAGATTTTAACACTCTGAATTACTCTTTTCTAACAGTCAAGTATAGCTGCAGAAAGAAAACAAGAAAAGAGAGGGAGCCAAATGCTACGTTTCCAGTTTTTAAAGTTTAAACTTTTTACAGACTTTCATTTACGTTCAAAATCGGTAGAAAAACAATACTTTCCTACCGATAGCGAGCATTTTTAAAAACGGTTGTTTTATTTTGATAAAAACAAATACTTGTTTGCGAAAAAAGTCAGGCCGAATCCCAAAATTGTCGGATTCGTTTTCTACAAATTTTACCTCTATGGGTTGTGTCTTTAAGAAAATATTATTGAAAACTCGGCTTAATTCCCAAGAGTTTAGATTTAGTTACGTTTTCTAATCAAACCTTTAATAATTTAATTAACAAAATTTGTCTTGGTCTTGGTATTTCTTAAATGTGATCTGCCTATTTTTGTGTTTAATAAATTACTGGAGATTTAAAGAATTTCGTCTAGATTTCAATTGAATAAAAATATATTTGTATTTTTGACTAGTTTTAATTATTTATTTTTCTTTTCTTTCAATTACAAATTATCAAACAATTATCTTTAAGCCATGCAGCTGCAAGCTGTCTTAAGACACCAGCTGTATTTTGGATAAATAAGAGACTAATCCTGAGATCTAGGACACCCCTCATCTGCCTGTATTAACCCAAATATCCCCTATACTTCAGATATTTCCCCCACCTTTCACAGATTCCCCCTTGCTCCAACCCCTATGCAGGGTAATTCCCTCTTAAGCTACAGCCCCCTTGCACGGTCAAGCACATAGTCATTTCACCCCTTTACTTAATTATAAATAACTTTTTTAGTTTTCAATCTATTTCACAGCTCTGCAGAAGAGGGGGTGCTTCACTGAAATTTCAACTCTAAGTAAGGGTTTAGTTTTACAGTTTCCTTCAAACATCAGGGGGAATATTATACAGTTCTAATTATACTCACAGTCAATCCTCAATCCTCAATCCCAGTCATCCCCAATCCTTAATCCTCTGTTCTCTATTCGCAATGCGTAATCCTTCATTCTCAATCCTTCATCCTCAGTCCTTCATCCTAAATCATAATCTTCAATCCTTAATCCTCAACTTGCAATCTCCAAACATCAGTGATTATTCCTCAATCCTCTCTTCATTAATCTTCATTATAAAATCCTTAATCCTCAATCCTTAATCATCATTCCTAAATCCTCAATCTGCAATTATTTAACCTCAATTCCCAATTCCCAATTCTCAATCCTCAATCCCAATCTTCAATTCTCAATCCTAAATAATTAATCCTCAATCTTTAATCCTTAATCTAAATCCCTCAGGAATTGCACTGTTTGAAAAAAATCATAACAATGTGTTCAATGAACTTCTATTTTCAGATTTTGAAATTATGGAAGCTGTAACACTTACAGATAGCCAGCTCAAGAAATTTAAAGCTGTCTTCAATAGGTATTATTTTTATATTTATCAATGTCAGCAAACACGAGTCTCCCATGCTTTTGAATCCTATTGACGGAATAGGGTGTTCAAATAAGCATTGGGTTTAAGTGACGTCTTCTTCTTTATTATGCGGCATTTTACTCAATCATAATTTTAGCTGTGTTCTAATTAAAGCCACTACAGGAGATCGTACCTCGGATTTCCAAAATGTGGTCCGCCAACTTGTTGCCTTGAAAATTGAAGGAGGTATAAGAAATGTATCCTTATATTTGCTTCTTACTCAATTATATACATTAATTGAAGGAGGTATAAGAAATTTGTCCTTATATTTGCTTCTTACTCAATTATATACATTAATTGAAGGAGGTATAAGAAATTTGTCCTTATATTTGCTTCTTACTCAATTATATACATTAATTGAGTATTTTAAAAGGGAATTAAACGTATTCGGAAATTAAAGCCGATTTTCAAATTGTCTTTTAAAAGAACTGTGTTAATGATTTCAAAAGACCCGATGTTCTACCATACATTCAACGCCGTGGCTAACGAAATATGAATTAGATAAATTTGTTTGTTTTTTTTTAAACTGTTTTATTTCAAGAATAGTTTCGCTACATATACGTGAATGACGTATTTCTTGCTCCCACGAAACAATAGAGACAATATTAGAATCAAACACTTTTTTGTCCATATTTTTAATTAGATCCCAGTTTTATAAGAGTACCGTTGTAAATCAGACATTGTCTTGTTTCGAAGTTAAAACTTAAAAAGTTTCTTTTAAAACTGTTTTAGGAATCATTTAATATTTATCTCTTGTTGATTTAATCCCCCCCCCTTTCTCTCACCCCCAGATTTTGTTGTATACCACGGTGTATACTTTACATTTGTGGAGGTATTAAATATTTCGAAAGCCTCGCAAGCATTTGAACTTTTATAAAAACATAAAGATTTTATTTTATTATTGTTCTCGTAACTTATCAAAATGAGGAAAACATAAACTCTAAAAGCGAGAGAAATTTTGTATACCTTAAAGAGTGGGGGGACGATTTTTTGTTTGCTTTAATTTTTTTGTGGTAGACGATTATATCAATATAATAAAGACGACTTTTTAATTTAGGTTTTGGTTGTTAACAAGCTTTTTTCGAATTTCAAGTTTACAACTAATTAAAGTTTAAAAGCTTAATATAAATCAAAATTAAAATCAAAAGTCGTCTTCATTTTATTATTATATTGGCCTACCACCGTACTTTATTACTTTAATTGTAAAAGTCTAATTTTAAAGCACGCCCAACAAAATTGCAAGTGAAGAAAATCGGTTTTTTCGACGTACCCACGTCCAAGTTTTTTTTTAACCAATTTAATGATCAAATTAATTTTGATCATTTTACTCAAATCAAGTTCATAAATGATAATTTATAAATATCCAATAAAATAAAATAAAATATATCTATGTATACTCTCAGAATAAAAAAAATCAATAGACAGTTAAATCCCTGAAGGATTATATGATAAACCCAAGGACGTAACCGTAGCCCAAGGTTGTATCACTGATTTAAATTTTCTAATTTAAACTTATATTGTAAAAAGTTTATTTTAACATTGGAGTTGGACCTGATTTAGACACTACGACACTGGGTTGCAAAGATACAAGGATTAGAAAATCATGGTTTGTGGCCAGAAATCATTGTTTTTTTCTTCCAAACAATATTTACTTTTTTAGCTTTTTTTCGTTTTTTATAATTTCCCTATTTTCTATTTCTGAATCCCTGCAGCTCAACTACTAAACCCTAGATTTATGAGAATATCATTTGCAAAATAAAATTGCTTAATCTTGCATAAACAAATACACACATAACTGTTTATTATTTATTCTTATATTTTTCCTCGAAATTAAATTTTGAAAAAACTAAAAAATTGAAAAAAATTGAGAATGAATATTACTGGATTTCAAGTGGAACCAACCAAATTAAGCCGCCACTCAAATTCTTTAAATTGGGACTCAGGCAATTCAAAATTTACTAGAATTCGGGATCAATCACTGAACTCTATCTTCTGCAGACCTAGGAATTAATGTTATTCCTCTTCGATATCCCTCGGTGGTTTATAGGCATACTCTGCAGAATCAAACATTTATCATCAAATTTAAAAGTGCCAACGAAGGATATCGAAATCAAGAATTCATAATCTATTTAAACAATACTCCGCACAAAAGTTACAACTGGGGTAATTAATTCTTGATTTAATTTTGTTAATGTATTGGTTTTTAAAAGCTGTGTTAAATGTATTGAGCTGAAAACTTTAGAATGGGATATCCTTAACCCTATTCCCGCTGGGGGGGGGTCAATTTGACCCCCCCCCTGTTGTTTTTTTTACATAACTCAAAAAGTATTGGTCTGAGGCTGTTGAAATTTTCTGACTTTTCTTACATACCCAAAGCCCTCCCTTTAGGCCTAAAACCGGGCTTTAATACTAACTGCCTGAGTCCTCAGGCACACTGCCTGAATGACTGCTTTTGCC